GGGTAAGCCGTCCTTGCCTGGGGCCTTATTAAGGGGCGTCCTGCTCACAACGTGGTCTAACTCATCGGATGTGATAGTCCCTTCGAGTCTGGCGCGATCCTGGTCAGATAGGGTTGCATGTGGGGGGATGGCATCCAGTAGTCGGTTAGTTGCATTCTGGTCGGAGGGGTCGCGGGAGTATAGGCGCGAGTAAAAGTCTGTTGCTACTTCCAGACGTTCATTGGTTGAGGTTGTCAAGGCATTGGTGGCAGGGTTGTGTAGGTGTGGGACGAGTCGTTTTTTGTTGCGTTGAGAGATGGCTCGGAAGAAGTAGGCGGTGTTGCCTTCTCCTTTTTCACGCCATAAGGTTCCCGACCGGAGGGCATAGGCATCCAGTTCTTCCGATGTATGTTGTTGAAGAGATGTTTCCAAAGCTTCCAGATCCTGAATGATTGCGTCCTTAGTTACACCGGTTGCAAGGGGGAGCTGGGCTAGTTTGTTTTGGCGTTGTATGTTGAGGTCTCTTAGGGCGGATTGTCGATCCTGTTTCCTTTTGATGGAGGCTGAGATGCAGAAACGTTTGATTTCCATCTTGACCCTGTCCCAGTGTTGGATCTTGCTTTGGTGAGGACGGGGTAAGGAGAAGGTCGCCAGGTGGTCGGTGAGATTCTTGATAAAGTCGCAGTTGTTGAGGAGCTGGGTATTCATTCGCCATATCCCTCGACCTGTCATGGGGGCGGAGGCGGGGGAGAGTGTCAGTAGTAGCATGTCGTGATCCGAGAAAGGAGATGCGCAGAGTTGCTCAGATTTAGATACCTGTGAGAGGAATTGGATAGAGGAGAAAATGTAATCAATGGTATGGCGGACTTTGTTTCCTGCAGGGGTGCAGGTGGGCTTGGGGTTGGTATGAAGTGGGGTGATGCAGTCTACAAGATGAGTATCAACCCAGTCCTGAAACAGGGGATGAGGACGAGGGTGAGTGTAATGTATGTAGTTAAGATCGCCTAAAAGAAAGGCCTTTGGGGGAGGGGAGAGAAAGAAAGGGAGGGAGAGACAGTTCAGCATGAATAGCCTTCGTGCTGTCCTGTTGGCTGGGGCATACATAACACAGAATGTGGCCATAAAAGAAGAAGATGAAGAGGTGACGGTGGTAATAATAATCCTTCCTTGTTCTGCGTAAGAGGTGTTAGAGAAGGAGAGGTCAGGATTGCGAAGAAGGAGTGCACAGTGGGGGGACCAAACAGAGCTGTGAGTGTTGAGATATTGGTTGTAATTGATCTGATCAGCAGTGGTTGGCGATGTTGGTAGGTTGATTTCCTGAAGGGCCATTATGTCAAAATCCGTTTGTCGAAGCCAGGTGAAGAAATGAGGTGGACCGGTAGCATTGTTGTTTTGAAGGTGCTGCTTACGTAGACCTCGCACGTTCAAGCTTGCGATCCGCATTACTGTGACCGATTGTTTTTAATTGTAGAAGTAGATCTAGTGGCAGGTCTACCTTCTTTGGTGTAGATGTTGTTGGATGTCTTGGTGATGGTCTTAACTGCTGTGGCGACCGCGGTCTTGGCTACGGAGCGTCTTGCCTTGATCCGCGCTGCTATAGAAGCAGCCATAGCATCCTCCATGGGGAGGTCGTTGTTGTCGGAGGAAATGGAGTGTTCAGTATTGTAGGTAGCTCTGTCAAGGTCTCCCAGGTTAGCTCCCTCCAAATTGAAATCCTCATCAAAGACCTCTTCTCCTGTATCCTGAGCCTGATCATGACATTCGGTCATAGTGATGTCATCTTTTGGTGAGTTGGAAGGAGAAACCACTAACTGGGACTGATGGGTCACATTGGTAGTGGTCAAAGCGTGGTGGGTGTTTGAAATTGTATCAGGCGGTACAGAAGCAGAAGCAGAGGAAGTAGTGGAGGAAGGAGAAGAGAAGGAGGTTGAAGAATCAGAAGAAGAGGAATCATGAGAAGAAGAAGAAGAGGAAGCAGAAGAGGAAGAAGAAGAGGAGGAAGTAGAGGAAGTAAAAGCTGAGGAGGATTCAGCGGAAGAGGTGGAAGTGGGTTGCCCTCTCACAGGCATCTTACCTTTCGCCCTCTTAGCATCTCTAGCCGAGAACCTTGAGCAGGTGAAGCTGACGTGGCCATTCGCATTGCACGCACTGCATACGATGGCCAAGCGCTTGGGACAATGGAGAAGGAGGTGCCCGTGTCCCTTGCAATAGTTACAAAAGGGAGAGGCTCCCATCCAACTGATACGGCAAGGAGATTTTTGACGGTTGCCCAAGGAGAGCAAGCGGTCAATCTTGAATTCGTCCGCAGTCTTGTCACTCTTGACATAAACAGCGAACTGGCTGCGAGCCTCGTGGTTGCCGTTGGGGGTAGGGAACAGAGGGATCTCGATCTTGATGACTTTGCCCATTCTCTTGGCGTCCTCAAAGTACCAAGAGCAGAACTGCTCCAGGTGGGTGCCAAAATCAAGGGAAGTCTGGAACTGGTAATCCGTGAAGACGAAACGGGTGATAATGTGAGGAACAGTCGATGAAAAGGGGGCAAACTGCTTGTCGTCGACGGTAATGGGAGTGGTGGAAACAGCTGTAGTGTCCAGAGATTCATGGTACACAATTTCAATGCGATGGTGGACATTGTCAGCGCAGGGGAAGGCCATGTTGCTAAGAATATGGAGAGGTGCTATGTCATCATGGGCTTTGAACAGAGTTGAGTGGGTGGATCTGACTGCATCCGAAAACGCGCCAGAAGAAATAGTTTTGGGGACGATGTATGCAACAGCTCTTGGGTTCACCAGGTCGCCCAGTCGAGCTCCCTTTGGTGCAAGAGCGGCAGCAGCAAGGTGACCCTCTTCGGGGTCGGTAAACACTGAGTGAATGAGAAGTTTATTGTTACTACGGGTTCCAGCTGCCATGGAGGCATAGGAAGGGGATGGTGGGGACCCGATTGAGGGCAGGGGTTGAGAGGGTGGGTCACCATCTCCGTGTTGGTGTTGATGTTGCTGTTGGGTTGGCATTGTGGAAAAGAGTTTTTTGGACCGCCGAATGCAAGAGATGTAGTCGAAAAACACACAAGGTTGTTTTTGACGCACTCCAAGACAGTCACAAAATTTATTCGGACCAGTACGACAAGAACAAGCAAAATGTCTCCTTTAACATAGGCGACTCCGTCTACCTCGATTCTGAGTACATCAAGACCCTGTCCACCCCAGGTACCGCCGCCAACAAGCTCCAGCCTCGATTCTTCGGTCCCTTCAAGATCACCGAACGCCCTAGTCCCCTCAATTGCAAGTTGGATCTACCGCCCAAGTCTCGTATCCATCCAATATTCCACGTCTCCAAGTTTCGCAAACACGTTCCGCGCGACCCAGATCAGTTTATCCTTCAAGATCAGGCAGACGCCGTCCACGAACCCCTTGTCCCAGACAACCCTGCCTACTATCAAGCGGAATAGGAAGTCGAAAAAATTGTCAAGCGCACCAAGTCTAAGGATGACCCTCTCCTCTTCCTGGTCAAGTGGGTCGGCTACCCTCATTCCGAAAACACCTGGCAGACCGCTGACGACCTTGTCAACGCTCAAGTTATACTCAGCCGTTACTTATCCAAGCATCGACTGTCCTCCTAAAGAAAAATTGCCGTATCCACCACCTTCCCTATATGCACGATCGGCGTTCCCCCTTGCACAGGCTCGTGCATGAAAAACAGTCTCCACCAATCAGAACATCACACATCTCCTTTGTCATTCGTCCAATCACGCCATTCTCCTTTCCATCTCATGCACCAAACTCCTTTTTTCCAACATCAATCACGCCATCATCCTTTTCATCTTATGTACACACCCCTTCAACATGACTCGGTCGTCATTTGCTCAACATTCAAAAGCAGCAAGCTGTCCATTCTCGCCCCTCTTCTTTTTGTTCCCTACACCTTTCCATTCTGCCATCCTTTCTCCTTTCGCCAACACATTCACTACTTTGCCTTCACCACTTCTGTTCATTCGCCCTCTCCATCCCTCATTCAAAAAAAAAAAAAAAAGAGAACACCACACACACTACCTTTCTTCTTTCACAACACCCGAACACCACCATGTCCACCAAGCGAGCACACTTCAGTACTTCCGTCAAGACCATTCCGGGTGCCCAGTCCAACCGTCGAACGGCCTCACTCCAACACCAAAAGTCCTTTAATAATGAGGACGACCCTGAGGCAGCATCCATTCGAAGCCCCTTCCCCGCCACATAGAAGCCGTCCGAGGAGCAAGAAACGACGTCCGATAACGACGAAGCCAACACCACCTTCGTCGCTCAGCAAACCATCAACCTTGATCCCGAAGACGACGAAAAACAAAACCTTGAAGGGCCACAAGTCCATGCGGCGTCTCTTTCTGCCCAAGAAACCCTCGGACCATGTCAGCCAACCCAAGTCGGCAGCTTTCTCGCACAGCTGGAGATTGTGTGACAAGAGACGCGCCATGCGATGTATAAAACCGTTCCGTTGTGTAGCGACACGTCCCTATCCCCGAACCTCCTGGAATGGTATCGAAGACACTATGCGGACCTCCGAGAACAAGAAAAAGCCTTCGAGGTGACATTGGTCGCCTAACCCCTGTCCCTCCAATGCCAATGGACCATCACCTCAAGTTTTACCAGGAAGCCCTCCACGCCTATAGAGAAACTCTTCATGAGCACTGGTCGAAGAAGCCCCACCCCTAGGTCCCCTTTTAGGAGGGGGAGTGTCAGAGTTTCACTCTGATAAGGTCACACTAACCTATGACGCCACCAACATTTCTAGACTTTTCTTCCCTCTGATTACTAATCAAAGCTACGCCTCATAGAAACCTCTAGAAACCCAACACGACAACTATCTAGCATTCACTCACGTATAAATTCCCCAACCAACACCTAGATAGCCCCTTAGTTTTAAACTCACCTTTTTATTAAAAACAACTTCCAAAGCACAATCGCTCCTCATTCCTCATTCCTCGTCCCCTCGTCTTGTTGCACCCCTTCCTCCTGCATTTCTTTGGTTCAAGCGGTAACACCTGCTAATTCGGCACTGCGCGCCTTAGTATACCACTCCATAGCCTTGCCGTCGTCCTGCTCAACACCTCGACCAATACGGTACATGAAACCGATGTTGAACATGGCACGTGCATCTCCAGAATCGCTTGCTTTGAGACACCAATCCATGGCCTTGCCGGCGTCCTGCTCAACACCTCGACCATCGTCGTACATGAAGCCGATGTTGAACATGGCACTGGCATTTCCAGCATCGCTTGCTTTGAGATACCATTGCAGAGCCTTGCTGTAGTCCTGTTCTAGGTAATCGCCACTATAATACGACCCACGCCCTAGCCATCACATCGCTGCTTTTGTGTAATAGGAATTTCCATTAGAATAATCATCCCATAGGTTCCAACAACCTCAGTCTTCGGTATAACAACTCGACAACAACGAGAAAGTCAATGTAGAGGAGTCAGTTTTATTCTATAAGACAAAGGGCCGCGCTGCGCCTAACCAGATCATATTATGGGAATACAAGATAAGCCTTCCGCATGAATATGATCATGGCATTCCAGGCGTAAATTTCTTAACACTGACATACAGCCACTCCCGATTAGGCAAACAAATTGGGACATCCGTTTTCCCATTGAGTGGAGGGGATGCCGCCTTTTCCCCAGGAGACACTGTTCACCCATTGCGCATTGTTGATCTGGCTGTTGCTTTCGAGGGTTTGGAAGTTTCCAGTGCAGTCTTTGGTGGAGAAGAGTCTGATAACTCCTCCGTTTTCACCTCGAATCGAAGCGGTTTGGGTGTTGGATAGACACTCACACCACCGGGCATCAGATTCAGCACCAATCCAAGTTCCTTTACCGGCGTTGTTATAGATGTGAAGGAGGGTGCTGGAGGATTGGACACCAAGGACCAAGGTCGAGCAGACCGTGAATAACACTGCGAGTACTTTGTGCATTTTCAAAAAGATTCTATCAAATAGGATGATATGACAACTTTGGATCAGATTTCAAGGATTTTTGTGAAATTGTAGCTTAAGAGGTATGGTTGCTAGGGTTAACTTACTGGACAGAGGTGATGTTGAGAGGCGAGATGAGTTCCCAAAGAGAAATAAGTGTTGTATTTATGCGAAAAATTATTGGATTAGTTGAGAGCGCATTGGAGTGAAAGGTTAGAGGCTATGTAATCGAAGCATGCACTAATGAGACGCCGCACTTTTTTCCAAACTTAAAAATGTAAGCGCCGTCTATCCCAACTACATGAGCTCTCTTAGCATCTTGTCTCTTACCTGGTAGTACAGGATTTTTAGGCTTGTATTCATTGAAACATTTGGACAGACGACTATATCGTATCCACACTGCATTCACGCCGCATCCACCCAGCACCTGTCGGATTAATTATCACAAAGAAAAACAAGAAAAAACGGCCATTCACCATCGACCATGGAGAGCAATTGATGCAAATGCTCTCTGCTTCACTAGTCCTAAAGGTTTGAAAATGTCGCTAGACTACATGGCGAGCTCGACACTCTCTCGTCCTTTATAATTAAACAAATCAACTATTGTTTATGAGGTGGAGTCCGCTGTTTTAGCGTCGTGTTGGCTCCTCGCCTGCTCTAAGACTTTATATAATACGGGTGTAGTGAAATAAATTGCAAGTGTACTTTTATTCAGCGGAGCCGAAGATATGAAAGCTCAAGCCTATTATCCGAGGGCCAGGACCATATACATGTGTAATCTTCTTTTATTGTAATAAATGCGAAAATCCAGAAAACTAAAACGAAAGTGAAAAGAAAAGAGAAAATAAATTCTGCTCAGGCACCAAATCTGTCCCTCATCTTCGTAGAGCGAGCCAGGGTGCCAGGAGACAAAAAGGGTGGGAGAAAAATCCAAGGGCGGGACATATATGGATTTAGAGCAGAAGTTATGACAAAACTAACGACGTGAAATTGGTTGCTGTCGCTCGACTCAGCCGATAGTAGTTGTTGACAATCACGTCGGAGGACCAGTTGCCGTGAACGACCACGTCATCAACGCGGGCGCCCTTCTTGATGGCCGCTGTAGGACCAATAGCGCGGGCCTTGGGTCTAGTCTCGTCCTTGGGCAGGTTGAGCATGTCGGTAATCTCAGTGATATGGTTGCTGATCGTCTGGTTGATGACCGGGGTCTTGGGGAATCGCACGTCACGTATGAGAGGGCGATAAAGAAATTCTTTGTTCTTGTGGTGAGGGACCATGATCTCGTGTCCCTCCAGGCGACGAAGGTATTCGGCGATGGCGCGTACCGGGCAAAGGAGAGGATCATCGTGACTCCTGATCGCGGGATACTTGATAATCTGTTGTCCACCTCGTGTTTCCTTCGGAAAAAACACGGGGATCTTGCAGGATACTTCGGTCAGTTCAAACTTGGGCTGGCAAGATTAATGGACCAGATATCGCTTGGTTGAAGAAACCCAACCGTGCCTAGGAGCCAGCACACCTTCTTGGTTAGAATGGATATGCCAAGGGTTTCATTGGGGCCTTGCTGTCGGAAAAAATCGAGGATTGGTCGAAGATCAATGTCGATCTCCTTCATATCCTTGATCGTCCGTTCCTGGATAGCCTTGAAGTAGGAAAGGAAGTCCGGGTCCAGAAAGGGTGTCTTGTCGTCGTACATATATATGATCGCCGCCTTGTAGTTGTTGACCGTGCTTGCTTGCCAATTCTGAACGAGAACGCCAGCCGTGAGCCAGTTGAGTAATTGAGCCGGGTTAGGTTGTTGTGGGTCGAATCCTCGGTTTTTTACCCAGCTGATATACCGTTCCTGGATGTTGCTGTAACGTTCCTGCTTGCGTTGCTCTCGTGGGTTGTCAAGTACTAATGATGCGGTTGCTTCATCCCATCCTTTATCCTCGAGACGGCGCCGCTTATTCGCCATGCTGTCAGGGACCGGTGAGGGTTCTTGGCCAGTATGTCGGGGGCGTTTCCGGGAGCTGGAAGGACATGGTATCGAGGTATCGGAATGGGAGGTGCTACGGACATCGATCTAATTGTTGGGTACCAAACTGCTGAGGGCCAATGAGGTGTTACAAACGTTGCTGTGATCTGTTCCTGTTGAAGCTTCTGTAAGATTAGCGGGAGCAAGTTCCATGGTAGGCAGATGTAGATGTTGCCCAGTGATTGCCAGTTGTGCTGTAGAGCGTCGTGACCGATTGCGCCTGGTGATGGCTTCCAGGTCATGTATTGTTGTAGGTGGTGGTTGATGGGAGAGGCGAAGAGATCGACGGTATGGGGTCCCCACTCTTGATCCATGCGATCGAAAAATGATGGACTGATTGACCATTCGAGTTGGCCTGTCAGTTGACGAGATGGAGCGTCCGCTGGGTTGAACGCTGAGGGGACGTATGTGGTCCGAATCCTGGTTCCGGTCTGGAGGCACCAGTTCCATATCGATGTCGCAAGTTCCATCAGCTCCGGTGACCTCGTTCCGCCGAAGTGGTTGATATAGGCGATCGTCGTGATGTTGTCCGAGATGATGTTGACTGTGCGACCCTTGACCTCCGGTCTCCGCAGGCATAGAAGACCATTAACAACTCCTTGTAGTTGATGTGTCGTGGGTAGTGAGTTTCCGACCATGTGCCACTGTACGATCGGTTGTTGATCACCACTCCCCAGCCGGATGTCGATGCGTCCGTGTATATGTCGGTCTGTGGATTGGCCACTATCCACGATAGGCCGTTCCACTGCTGCAGGTGTGTGCGCCACCAAAGGAGCTCTTCGGTGGCTGTCGTCGGGAGAGATACGGAGCCCTCCCATGATATTCCCGATTTCAGTGCATTTATGCAACAGGCGAAGACTGGGACAGAGAAGTATAGAACGGGGACGAGAGTTGAAGCAGTGATGATTGATGTTATTACTATGGTACAACTAAATGTATATACAAAGTCGCCAACTAGGTTTCTAGGTGTAGTGTCATACAGAGTCAGAGATGATAGAGAGTGACAAGGAATGACTAACTAGAGAGCAATGATAAACCTAATATGTTGCAATTTATCTTCACTGCCTGAAGGTGCTGCACTTTCAACCGAGCTGGAAATACTGCTGCTGTCATGGCTATCGCCTTGCCGATAAAGGACGACAGTTGTCGGACTGAGCAGGTTGCTTTGTTGATCAGCTTCGACGCCTCGTGTCTCATATCGCGAATTTTGGTTCCCGGAATCCTCAGTGTCATCGCTACTGTGTCGATTTCGTACCCCAGATGCTGCAGTTTCTGGGATGGTGTCAAACTCGACTTGGACTCCTTTGTCAGAAAACCCAGACTGGCCAGCTTTTCTGTCACCATTCTGGTATGCTTCCTCTAGAGTTCCTCTGTTGCCGCTGCAATGATCAGATCGTCGAGGTAGGCTGATATCCTGATCCCGCGAGATCTCGCCCATCGTAGCAATGGTTTCAGAACCTTGGTGAAGATGAGTGGAACTAAGGATAGACCGAATGGTAGTACCTTGAACTGGTACAGCTTCCCTCACCATTGGAATTGTAGGTAACGTTTGGAAGAGGGGTGATGTCGCGTCGTTCCCTATGATAAGTCGACTTTTGGCATGATCGGTCGACCCTTGGCACGATCGGTCGACCCTTGGCACGATCGGTCGACCCTTGGCACGATCGGTCGACCCTTGGCACGATCGATCGACCCTTGGCACGATCAGTTGACACTTGGGCGCAGTTGAATGAGCCCAAGACAATTAATTAGCATTGCTCACAATCACATATATATATCCCATAGTACCCCAAATAGTTTGATCCTTACCTAGTAACTTGAATAATACTTTGTCTACCCCTTGAAAACCCATATCTGACTCCCTATTCCCTTTGTTCTCTTCCTCCACCTCTCTTCCTGATCCTGCCTAAGAAAAGGCCAACTCTCCCTTGTTCTAGTCTAGATTCTCGACACATACCGTGACCATGACCATACCCACAGCCAAGGATGCCAGCATGTCGTCGTCGATCCGCCACCCTCAGTCCACATCAGCCATGGCGACAGCATCGTCATCTCCTCCATATGCTACATTCCCCTCCATCAACAACCCATCTCCAGTCACCATCATGGAAATCTTGCTTCACATTGCCTCATTCCTCAACACCAGGTCGCTCAAAACGTCTCTCTGTGTCTCAAAGGACTGGTATACCACCCTGTGCCTTCTCCTTTGGCAACGAATCTATCTATGGCATGATCCTGACGAGTATGATCCCGACATAGGCCCTTCTTTCTCAAACCTTCGACAGCACGCTTCCCTCATCAACAGCCTCGAGGTCTACTCCCACAAGTTCCCTAAGTTCTGCGGTCCAGACCCGACTGACGGCGACAACCCCCTTTTTTCCCAAACCTCGCGGTTCTCAAGATCGACACGCACTATAACAAGGCTTACAAGGACCGCGAGATCTTCTCGTTTATGGAACGACACCAGGCCACAATCACGAACCTGACCCTCTCTTCTTTCCACACGGTCGAACTGACACTGATCCTGGCCCATGAGTTACCATTGTTGACTCGCCTCTCGATTAAGAACTGGGATTTTCATGGTCTTCCGAGTGTGTTCATGGATAAGTACCACACTCTCTGGTCCCGGGTCTTGTCTCTCTCTCTGTACGAGTTTAAGCTCTTTAATACGGAATACGAGGCGTGGAAGAACCTGGGTATGGCCACTGACCTGCTGGAGCAAGCACCACCGACAAAACTCCAAGAATTGATCATGATCACGAATGAGTATGGAACCGATAGTGCGCAGATTCGACTGCAACTTCTCTTCATCCTCAACAGCCCTAATCTCGTTCGTCTGGAATGGGCTACCGGATGTGTAGAGTGCGACTCCGAAACCTATGAGGACGTAGAAGTCGTCGAAGAAGGACCCATGGCGCAGATGGCTCGTGTGATCAAGTCTGGTAGATTCTATCAAGGACGACAACAACAATTGGAATCCCTTGGTCTAGGTCTGAGCGAGTTCAGGATTCAGGATCTGGATATCATTCTCAACTCTTTCCAATCGTCCCTGAAGGAATTATCTCTGAACTCAACCACTTTCGACGAAGACTCCTGGACGCTCATCAAGGATCACTATCCTGGATATCTGTCTACGGTTACTGTTCTAAATCTCGATGATTGTTCACTCCTGAAAGGGTCCCAAGTTCAGGACATTCTTTGTTCAATCACCAGCCTTAAGGTTTTCAAAGCGGATTACATCAAGGAATCAAATCTTGAGCGTGATCGTGACCGTGGCCGGTCCTGGGTCTGTTTAGGTTTGAAGGAGCTTTCGCTGGGCTTTGTACGACAGACACGCCGAGAGAGTGATCGTGGACAATACCTTTTTCTGGAACAACTCTCTCGACTGTCGAGACTAGAGGTCCTGAACCTGGAGAAGTCTACGACTGAATCCAAGATTGATGAAGATGAGGAGGTGGTGGGAGTTGAAGGCGCCGCCGTTGATGAAGAGCCAGATCGACGAAACCCTGTCGTTGATGCCGATTCCAAATGTCAGAGGATCTTGCTGCTAACTCTGACCGAGGGTCTGGACTGCTTAAAGCCCCTCCGACGACTGAGAGAGTTGGAGGTACCCAGGAACCACCGATGGGATGGCGGTAAACAGGGTTGCAAGCGCTGTGTCTGGACCGAGGCCGAGGCTCGATGGGTGACGCGTAACTGGGCTGTTCTCGAAAAGCTGACCAATATTCCCATGGCAAAGGAGGCCAAGCAGATTTTGGAAGAACGAATGAGGATCTCGAGTTCTGAGATTTGACATTTTGAATATAGCATTATGCACCCACGACTCGGAATTTTTTCTCATGTTTATGCCATTAGGAGTTGCGGAGGAAATTGTCATGCCTCAAAAAAACAGTTTCTCCTCACATTCGCGAAATGTACAGTAGGAGCATGTTCGTCCACTCTTGGCAGTGACACTCTAGGTCTGAACAAGCTTCTGAAACGTATGTAGGATAGCACTAGAGGCCCGTAGTTAATGATTCTCGGGGGTGGTTCACTTGTGCCCCACAAGAACTGTGGATCCGAAAAATCTACAAATAATGAAGGGGAGACAGGATGTTGTGTACGCGCACAACATGTGTGAGATGTTTAGCAGCTGCTAATCGCAGTGGCTGCATGTTTACTCATGTGTAAAGAGGGGCATATAAATAAGACAAAGAGCACGCAATAAAGAGGATACGTTTTTGTCCAGCTCGCATCATTATTATACCCTTTAATTGACATCCCATCTAAAACACATCCACTCACACATACTCCCTCTTCACAGGATTCAACACAGGACCCAAAATTTGTGAAGCCTTTGAATTCTACGCCTGGTGACATTGCGCTATGTAGTCAAAGCTGCCAAAAGGGATAAAAGAGATCTTTTAATTTTTGTTATTCGCAAATACAAGAATTACGAAGCTTGTGGGTCCAGAGAACTTGAGGCTCGACAGATCATCGTTTCACTGCACTGAGACCACGGTAGCGCTTTAGGGCTTGGGGGCACTGGCTGTAAGCATCCGAGAGCTGAAGGGCTCGAACAACTCGATGGGCGTTTTGTTGATATGCGTGAGCTGGCCACTCCGCGCCTGAACGTAGAGTCGAAGGAGATCAGTCTTGTCGGCGTCGGTAAGAGAGCTCTGATTGGCTTTAAGGCTCTTATAATTGTCGTAGTTCATGATGGTGACTCGGCCATTTCTGCCGAAAATCTCCGAGTGCCAGCCATCCCCATCTTCGTCTTTCGCAAACCAGTGGCGGAGACCGAAGACATGGCCAAGCTCGTGAACCAGCGTTTCCACCTGTTCAGCCTCGTTGTGATCGAACATCGATGGATATATAACAAGCTTGTGTTGGCCGGTGTCTGGGAAGAAGGCCTCCGCGAGAACGCAACCGCCGTCAAAGCAGAATTTGTCTTTGCGCACATCGAACTCGAAATCCCAGACAACGTTGTCCTCAGTGAACTTGACTGGGGCTGCATCTCCCCACATGTCGACCGCCTTCCGGAAGAGGTTGAGGATTTCCTCCTTGGTCCTGCCCGATTGCTGAAGTGTGATGTCATTGAAGCGATAGCGCAGAACGGCACCCTTCACCCAGAGAGGGATGATTCCCTGAGTGCCTACGACGATTTCCAAGGGCGAGCGCTTGTGGGCACGCTGGCCGTCAACGCACAAACATTCTTTGAGAAAGAAGTGCATCCTGGAATCGGGCTGGGGTTGATCTTGGTGGATATGGTCAGTCATTTGAAAAGGCAATTGTTTGTGTTTTGTAAAGATGAATGTTGAAGTGTTGCAGGAAAGTTGTAAAATCCATGTAGGACAGAGGCTATTTTATACTTGTCAACGTCGTTTTCATGTAGGTAGTGATTCTTCACACTTCTGACCGACTCACATGAAGAATCTGCAACCACAAATGGACTATCATGAGATCTGCATGTGGCTCGGTGCTCTACTCAGCCTGACGTTCTCTTTCAACTGTTGGTTGGATAGTCTCACCACAACTTGAACATGCAGGGAATCCAATCAACAAAGTAATCCAAGTTACTGCACCGTACACGGAGCGTTTCAGTCATGAGTCAGGGGCTAGTGCACACGGCGATTTAAGCTCTCCCCATTATTGGCTGGGTAGTCACTCCACCATGCACACAAGATTCACGAGATCAAGGTCTATGCATAGGGCGATTTAAGCTCTTCCCACATTGGCTGGATAGTCATTACACCACACACAGAATGTTTCGGTCATGAGTGCAGCTATGGGCTGGGTGGTCTGAGCGGTACTTAACTCTCCGCAAAGGGCTAGTCGGGTACTGCACCACAACGAGAATGTTTCAGTCGTGGAATCAGGGTTCTGTGCACATCCATTTTATTCTTTGTAAGTTACAAGTTTAAGACATTTTGCATACGTTGGACGAAACCCACCAGGTATTAACGCTTGCCTTAACGTTGAATGATGCCTGTCTTATCATTGCATGAAGCTTGCCTTAACGACGCATGATTTTGATGTGGCAGACCATGGAAGGATTTACGGAATAGGAGAAAAGAAAATGTTTGTGCATTATGTCCACTATTTAGACACATAGCCAACCAGGTTTCAAGGCCAGTCCCTAGCGCCGCTTTACTTTCTCGGAGGCTGATTTCAGTTTCAGAGCAATATGTTTTTACGCAAGATAGAATTATCATTCCGAAACATGCCAACTTATTTCCCGCATCAGTGTAATATGCGCGTTAGATAACAGACACAATCAAGCCGGGTTAGAAACTCACACTGAACATTGGTTGGCACAGTAGTATGTCTCAGTTGTTCAGTTGTTTTGTAGTAGCTAGGTGACTGGGTACAGTAAATTTTAACCGCTTTTCCAAGTATTGGCTGGAGACCTAGTGCACTACCAAGGGAGAGTTCCAGTCATGAGATCTGCAAGTTTAGGTGGTCTAGGCACAGCTTAATTTTAGCTCTTCTCTTAATTGGCTGGAATGTTTCAGTCGTGGGAACTGGTAGGTGACCAGGGCACAACTTAATTTAAGCTCTTCTTTTAATTGGCCGAATAGCCACTGCACCAGGCATAACATCAGGGGTCTATGCACACGGCGATTTAAGCTCCTTCCATCATTGGCTGGGTACCCCCTACGGTTCATGGGATCAGGGTCTGTGCAACAGGAACTCATTCCCCCTCTTCTTTTTTTCTTTTTTTACCGAGCTCAAGTTAAGCGTGGTTAATCTACTAATACAAAATCGTTATCTCCATCACCTGACTTATCGTAAATCATGTGATGTTCCCTCTTTCTCTTTCTCATGGTGTTGTGGTGTGTGTATGGTGTGTATGGTGTATATGTAGTGTGTGTGTAAGTGTTTGTGTGTGTTGTGTGCGTTTTTTTTTTTAGCTTAAAGTTAATTAAAATGAAAGTTAATTAAAAATGAGAAAATGATAGATGGATGTGGGATGCGATGAGAGCCATACCGGTAAGCAGATCTACCGGTAAGCAGATCTTCCGGTAAGCATGTTAAAATGCGGAATGAGAGCCATACCGGTAAACTGATCTGCCGGTAAGCATGTTAAAAATGCGGAAATGGAGAATGTAGAGAGTAGAGCCGATGGCTTTTTCTTTCTCTTTTTTTCGGACAAGAATATTTCCTTTCCTTTCCTTTCCTTACCTCTCTCTTTTTTTTTTTTTTTTTTTTTTAATCTGTCAGTAGCCAGCATGCCTTCCACTCGCTCTCGCCGTGTCGCTCTTACTTCAACATCCACCTCCGATGTCTCTCCCCCTGCGACCTTTACAGGATATAAACGAACCAAGGCAATGAATTCAACAAGGTCGCAGATGACCAAGTCGGTCACGTTCTCTCCCCTTTCCGCCCGGCACACTGCCACCAGCTCTACTGCTACCGCTCCCTCTGTTTCCTTCGCTCCCTACTCTCTTCCTACCAAACACACCAAGCGCTCCATCAAGCGCCGCACCATCAATAACACTAAACCCAAACCCAAGGCCATTACTCCTTACTCTTCCTCCTCTCCCTCTTCTTCCTCCCCGTCTTCCTCCATCAGCAGGTGTTCCAAGTGTCGTGGAACCGACCACCAAAGATCGACGAGTCGACGCTGCCCATACTATAAAGGGAAGCAAACGACAAGTGCAAGGATCAACAATACTCAAAAGCATTATTCCTACAGCGTCAACTACTATGAAGCCATCTTTGACACCATCTCAGACGACGACATCCTCGCTGCACTTGCTGAGGTCGATCAGGATCAGGATCCAAACACGACAAGTCAGTCTACCATTGTGGTGGATGTTAATGATAGCGAGGACGAATCGATCATAGACGACAACGACGATGACCTCGCTGCATTCGCTGAGGTCGTTCAGGATCAGGATCCAAACACAACAAGTCAGTCTACCATTGTGGTGGATGATTATGAGGATAGCAATAGCGAGGATGAGCCGCTCATAAGGCGGCGCCCAGGTTGGAAAAGCGTTTCCAGTTCGGAGTCAATCCAACTCGACGATGAAAGCGAGGATGATCTGCAGAGGCCATTAACACAAGTCATATCAACACAAATCTCCTCTTCCAGTCATGCAAGCACTTCAAGCACTTTGTTGCCCGAGTGGACCTCTCCAATGCCCTCCACCATGGATACTGCTTCTGGATGCATGGCCATTGTATGTCCCACCTGTTCATCACAACTATTACTTTCAGCTGTATTACAGAACTAATTCCCATAAATATTAATAAAAATAAAACATTAAAAAAATGATGAAGCTCCGGGCTATTTTTTTTCAGTTATTTTATTCATTTGAACAACTCATAAAGGAAATAGAGCATAGAGCAGGCGGCTAAAGGCCTTCAAGGCTACACGAACCTATTCATTATTGGTCTTTATAGTTTCTTGAACCGGCCCATCTAATCAACCATCAACCATCAACCAGAGAGCATGTCCAGCCTAGAAAATAAAGGAGAAATGGAGAAAAAAACGATGGGATGGATAAACATAAAGGCGAAAGAGAAGAGAAAGAGGATGGTATCTCTTTTAGAGCCTGTTGTAATAAACATATAATAAGCTGTCTCAATCTACGCGCGCTCCAACATCATTTTTCCTTTCATTCCCTATCAACAGACACTTAAACACCTCACATTTCCAAAATGTTATCGGCCACCAATGTTATGCGTTTATGCGCAAGCTGCAAGCAACCAGGACATTCTCGAAATACCTCAACGAAATGCCGCCTCTACAAAAAAAGGTATGAGCAAATGAGAATGAAAAGGTTATAAAGTGTAACCGCTCCTGTTGCTAAAGAAATGTGACCTTTTCTATCGTTTTCTTTTGTTTATGGGGAGGGACAGACCATCAAACTCCATAACTATCCCAAGTGATATAGCCCAAGACGCCCAAAGAGATATGGAACGCCGACGACAAGAAGATCGAATCAATCAAGAAGCTGCGGAAGGCTCTCGCAGGCATGCTATTTCCATTTCTCCGGCTGCCTCAATTACTCCTATCGCTGCTACTCCTCATTCTGCTCTAAAGTGTCAATCTTGCGGACGGCTTGGCCATAGTCGCAAAAGTCACAAGGATTGTCCTATGAATCGACGATACCTGCTCATTGCTGCTCCTATTGCTCCTGCTGCCCATACTGTTCCTGCCACTCCTGCTGCTCCTATAGTCTCTGCCGCTGCTGCTATTCCTGCTATTCCTGTTATTCCTGCCGCTCCTGCCGCCGCTCCTGCTATTCCTGATGCTCCTGCTGTACGTGTGTTCGGAAATGGAATGGCTGCTTGCAAGGAACAAGATGATACAGAATACAAGGCCCTGGATCGGATGAACGTCGTTTGCTCTCACTGTGGCGCCTTACATTGGAGAGAGGTAACAATATAATATCAGTCATTTTTTTTAAAACATCTTCTGCATTTTTGTTAGATTCCTAACTTTTTTTTCTATCTTCTGAATATATCCAGGAACGCGTCGGATGTGCGGTCGTAACTCCGCGTTTCTCTATGTGTTGCCTCCAAGGAAGAGTCAAAATGCCGACTATTGAAGCTCCCCCTGCCGAATTACAAGAACTGTTTAGAGGCGATACCCCTCTCTCCAAGCGATTTCTGGCAAACACACGGACCTTCAACAATGCCTTTGCTTTTGCATCCTTTGGCACCAGTACAAAGTACCGTGACATGCGGCGACCGCCTGGCAGAGGCCCAAATACCTTTCAAGTCAAGGGCCAGCTTTACCACAAGATCGGCGGTATTCTCCCACCAAACGCCCAACAACCTCAGTTTGCCCAGATTTATTTTCACGACTCGGACCAGGACGCTGAAGTCGATCGACGCTTGGATTTCATCTATGGGTCAAGGAACCAGGCTCTTCCAAACGGCGGGGATGGTGTGCAAGCACGAGACCGAGACAAGGACAGAAGGATTATCCGCATCCTTCATCGCCTCATGTACAGGCACAATCCGTACGCCAAGAGGTTCAAGACCATCGGACAGCGTATTCGAGCGGACGATGCACCGGTTCTGGGCTTAAAGATCGTTTGTCAGAGGGCGGGTGACGCGAGACGCTACAATCGACCCACCGCCGATGAATTCGCCGCCATTCTTCCTGGCGATGCAACAGATGCACCTGGGAATCGGGATATAATCATCCAGCTTCACAACAACCGCCTTCATCAGGTCTCAGCACTGCACCAGTCATACTTTCCTCTCTGTTACCCGCTGTTGTTTCTACGTGGGGAGGATGGATATCACCTAGGACTCACTCGAAACAACCCTCAACCTCCGGAAGATGTCTTGCAACATGTCCTAGATCCACAACTTGCTTATCGACATCCAGTTCCACCTCATAATCTACAGCCACTATTGGATCAAGCCAATGCTAATGAGATGGACATTGACAACAACGGCAACAACAACGACAACGACAACAACAACGACAATATGGACCTTGGCGACAACGACGACGATGACGTCGAGAACGACCTCGAGGAGCAGATCGACCAGGGCGATAATGATGAAATCCTCGACAATCACCTAGGCGACGCTGATCCTCAAGCTGCAATGGGTCTCAACAATGAGGGTGAAGGTGAAGACGACGAGGGTGAAGGCGATGAGGAGCATGCTCCGGGAAACTATACTCACAGGATCACCATGATGGATTTCTTCGCCTATCGCCTCCAATACCGCATTGGCGATAGCAGCGAGTACATGTTCCGTTCAAGACGCCTCTTTCAGCAATTGATGGTTGACATGTTTTGCACCATGGACATGAATCGCCTCAACTTTCTGAAGCATAATCAGCAGACCCTTCGTATTGAGCTCTACTCAGGTAATCAAGGGAACCATTTCTGAGATGTTGAGGGTGCATTGATCATTCTCAGAATTCTAATTATTATTATTATTATTTATTTTTTTGGACATGATATCTCCACAGGCTTACAGGATGCGGTCAATGCTGGGGATGTCGACGCCGCTGCCGTTGGAAGACGGGTCGTCCTCCCTTCAAGTTATGTCAGCGGACCCCGATACATGCAGCAGCTGTACCAAGATGCAATGGCCATTGTCCGTGCCTTCGAATCGACACCGGATTATTTCGTCACTTTTACCTGTAACCCCAAGTGGCCCGAAATCACGTCAGAACTTTTCCCAAACCAGACAGCGGCTGACCGCCCGGACCTGACGACACGCGTCTTTCACATCAAGCTGAAGGAACTCCTACATGATCTGTTGAAAAAGCAAGTCCTTGGAAAGGTTGTCGGCATGATTCATGTTATTGAGTTCCAGAAGCGTGGACTACCCCACGCACACATTCTGCTCATCATGAGCCCTGAGCACAAGCCTGGATTGCCTGCAGACTACGACAAATACATATCTGCTGAGATTCCCGATCCTGAAACGCACCCAGCTGCCTACGAGACCGTCAAGAGAACAATGATCCATGGCCCATGTGGACCGGCAAATAGGAACTCCCCATGCATGGAGAACGGTGTGTGTACCAAAGGCTATCCCAAGCCCTTCCTCGCGAACACTACAAACGGACCAAATGGATATCCGCAGTACCGGCGCCGCATGGATGGAAGGACGATCAGGATCGATGGCCGGGGAGATTTCGAGATTGACAACCGTTGGGTCGTTCCGCATAACCCCTATCTGGCCGCAAAGTACGGCGCTCACATTAATGTCGAAAGCTGCACCTCTTCCACTGCCGTCAAGTATCTGTACAAGTACGTCTACAAGGGCCATGATCGAGCCACTGTTGTGGTCCAACAGCCGGCACAAGACGGAACTCAGGTCGCCGGTGATCTTCCTGTGCAAGAAGCCAATGAGATCATTGATTTCATCGACGGTCGCTACGTCTCTGCTTCCGAGTCTGCTTGGCGCATATTTGGATTTCGCCTGCACAGTGCCTATCCATCCGTCACCAGGTTGCATTTGCATCTCCCCGGTCAGTTCATGCATGCCTTCCGCTCGGACGAACCCATCGCTGATGTCCTAGAGAGAGCCGCACTGGAGCGCAGTACGCTGACAGCATTCTTCGACTATAACCGTCACCATCCTGATGAGCCGCCTTCAAAGTACCACAACTTTCCTCAAACCCACGTTTACCTCAAGAGCGAGAAGCGATGGAAGCTCAGGGAGAGAGGATGTACAGTCGGCCGACTGTTTTTTGTGCATGATACCGCAGGCGATCTGTTTTATTTGCGGTTGTTACTGCTCTCGGTGCCAAGTCCTATATCGTTTGACGACCTGAGAACAGTCGAAAACGAGGTCCACCCTACGTTCAAGGCCGCTTGCATCGCCCTTGGCATGCTTCAAGACGATCGCGAATGGGAGAACTGTCTTCGGGATGCCGCTGTCAGTCAAACGGGATACCAACTCCGCTCTCTTTTTGCAAAGATCCTTGCCTTTTGCAACCCGACAAATCCTGCTCAGCTTTGGACCACCTTTCGCGATGCACTGTCTGATGATCTCCGTCCAAGGGAACGTGACGCTACCAGTCCTGAGCAGCGGATATCCTTTGCAGACCAGCGTGCAAATGCTGCGCTGATCCACTTACAAGTCCTCCTGAGAAACCTCGGCAAGACTCTCGGCGACTATGAAGGCATGCCCGAGCCCGTCATACTGGAGCAGCATGGTCCAAACGTAAATGCATTTATTGCAGACGAGTTGAGTTACCCTTTGCCCAGCCCAGAAGAGTTCGCCGTGATGGAGCAGTCACTCAATGGGAATCAGAGGGAAGCATACGACCGAATCAAGCGCTCCTATGAGATGAACACTTCCGAGACGTACTTCATCGATGGTCCCGCAGGCACAGGGAAGACCTTCCTTTACTCCCTTATCCTATCTATGGTCCGGTCAAATCACGATATCGCTCTTGCCGTCGCCGGATCTGGAATTGCCGCATTACTTCTACAAGGCGGAAGAACCGCTCACTCGCGCTTTAAGATTCCCGTCCCTACCCACGAGGACAGTGTTTGTTCAGTCAATCACAGGTCAGAAGTTGCAGATCTTCTCATCCAGGCCAAGATCGTTGTCTGGGACGAAGCTCCTATGACACATCGGCATATCTTCGAGGCTGTAGACCGCACTCTCAAAGACCTAATGAAAACTGTGGACCCTGAGAACGAACACCGTCCCTTTGGAGGAAAGCTCATGGTCTTTGGCGGCGACTTTAGGCAGATTCCTCCAGTTGTCAAGCAAGGACGCAGAGAGGAAACCATTGGAGCCTGCTTTAAACGATCTCCACTCTGGCAACACATCCAACACCTCCATCTTTCCGTCAACATGCGCCTTCTCAGAAATGCCAACGCTCCCGACATCGAGGAACAAACCGGGTTTGCAAACTGGCTTCTTCAAGTCGGAGAAGGAACAGTTCCCGGCCCGTCTCTAGACAATGGAATCTCCACCAACATCACA